AGCAGGAATCTAGAATACATCCTCAGTGAAGGTTGCATTCATTCAAATATGCATCAGAAGCATACAGCCTTCACCTTGGAACTGTGGGGCTGCACAAAACAGACCAGTGACTAAGACACAGGACTGAGCACTAAAACAAGGTTCTGCAATGTGATATAATTTAGGTAGATATAGGTTGATCAGGGCATTTAAAGAACTTCTAGAGCATGGAAGATTGTGTCTGCCCTGACTCCTCATCACCCTCAAAAGATGGAACAGCTGTAATCATAGCTGGTCAACACACACCTTGCTGTGATCTGCCCTGTAATTATTTTTCTTCAATCTTTTGAATAATGTGTCAAGCTAAAAAATATATTTTTCAGTTATTTAGATAATATTTACTGAGGACTGCTAATGTGTGCTGAAGTCATCAGAAAGTTATCACGTTCTTTACAGTGCCTGGAGAAAGATTACAGAGGACCAGTTGAAGTATACACCAATAACTAAAACAACTTCCATTTTCAAAGAGCCAATATTTGTTTTCGATATCCAGAAAAACAAAACATTACCTCAGCTCTCAGTTTAATTAGTGTTGCCTGCTGGTATCACTGTATAAGAACTTTGAACTCAAGTTTACCCTACCTTTGCTTATATATCACTCTCCAGCGTGAGCAAGCCTTAACTCCTGTTTGGTCTGTGACATACTGAGCAGCCGGAAAAATCATCCTAAGATCTACCATGTCAAGTGGTTATTTTGAAGAAGTACTGGGTAGACAAAGCTGAGCCCGGAATGAAGTCTTTGGATTCTTCTCTCTACTCTTAGGGATGAGTTTCACCACAGAGTAAGGTTATTGCCCCATTGATTCATGTGGCTTACTTTCAGGCAAGAAGAGAAGTTCCTTAAAAGAGGCACAATATCTGCGAGGATATTAAAAAGATTTGAGAGTTAGACAAAAAGAAAAAAGTGGTAACTTGACCAAAAACAACAACCAAAAAAGCCATCCTTATGTGGAAATACTTATTTCCACCATTTGGAAATATTTGAGACACTGGGGAAAGTTTAAGTATCTCTACGTATGCTTGGAATTTATTTTTCACATACAAAGCATTCCTGTGCAGTTACCCATGTGTGTGAACTAGTATACGCATTTCCTCTCCTTTGATTTTTCTGGTGTTTGTTCCCCTCTCCCCCTCCAGAGAGTCACTGCAAGAAGTCTCTATAATTATAATCCTCTCAATAGATCGACTGGCACAGCCTCCCAGACTTCATACGTAACTGGACAACATCTTAAATACGTGGCACGGGTCTTCATAGCAAATACCACCGCTTCAAGTTGCAGGAACATAATCTCAGAGCAGATTTACCCCAGCTAAAACACTTAAAGTGAAGCAGGTAACAAGATTTGAATTTTAAGTCTGAATAGTTCAACGCTGAATTGAAGTTACACATGAGAAAACCAATTTTTTTCTTTAAAGAGACGTTTCCTGCTTCAGGGCAGGCTGACAAACCACCTTAAGTTTCTCCAGTTCAGAAATGGAAAACATCCTTAATGGCTTCCGGTAGCAGTATCTTTGAAGTCCTGCAGCAATTATGTAACTGCTCTGGAAACGGGAGAGGAGCAGCTAGGAAGCCTGCCTCTGAACTGAGCGCTTAGGAAGGGGAAAAATAAACAGAAAAATCTTTTACTGAATCCTTGCTTTTTGCTGAGACCATTCCTGCAGCCCAGCCTGAGCTGTAGCAAGTGTCAGGCTTTTATTGTTTGTTCTGTTTTTTGGGATTGGTCGTGGAGGAAGAAAGTGAAGCCTGAGCATCATGCAGGCAACTTTAATATTATCTGGACACAAACGCTGAGAAAATATTGCCCCGACTCCTTTTGTCCCTGTGGGAGTAATCGCGCTGTGCCTTTCATTGAACTCTGTGAGGTCTGAGGCTTGGAAGAAACATTCAATTTAGAAACCACTGCAGGATTTTCAGGAAGGCATAGAAGACTTAGGAGCAAATTTAGAAGCCCATTGATCCGTTTGGAATTTGCAGTCAAACTAAATTCTCATTTCTGCTGAATAACCTCACTATAGTTATTTTGTCAGTGTGAACAAGAACAACAGCTGCCCCGCAGTATCTCGGTAAGTGTGAATTTCAGCCCTCAACAAATCCTAATATTTTGGAGGACCAATCAAAGGTTCACTATGTTTCCTGAATTATATCTTAAAAGATTCCTTGCATTAACACCTTTAAGTAAGAACAGGTGACAATTCATAAATGCAAAAAGGCAGTGTGCCCTTCAAGAATCAAACCATTACAAACTTCTTTCTAGAATAGTTTTAAAATGGGAAGGAAACAATTCAAAAGCATATAAGAATATGAAAGCTGTACTGTCAGAAGCAGGTGAAACAGTTCAGCATGCTACGTTAAGCTCAACAGATTCAGTGTCATCTGAAAATTAAAAGACATTTCTATTATTACAGAAAAAAAAAACCCACAACTAAAATATACTTCTGCAGCGAAAGGCAAGCTGCCCCAGCAATCGTAGGAGATGGCTAAAATGCAGTATGGGCCAAAGAATAACATTTGCAAGAGAAGCAAGTAGGAGAAGATCATAAATGGGAAGGGGAAGGCAAATAAATCTGGTAACATATTAACCAAAAAAGAGCAACACAGGTGAGAGATTCAAATACATTTGCATTATACCACAAAAAGAAAACATTAATTATTAGGCTACAATTTTTGGCTTCCTGTGCCAGTATAAACTACTCTAAACATGAATTTTGTAGCCTGAAAGACTGAGAACAATATCTCAGCCATGATCGGTTCTAACAGTATCTAATTTATTCAACATTCGATGGCTTGATCTAGTAAATCTTAAGTCATTTTGAGCACATATTATTAATAGTATGAAGCATCCTGAATCCAATCAAACAATAGGGCTCTTTGGGGGTGGGGGGTGGGGGGAGAATCTAGCTTGCTTTCACAGATTTCTTCAAAGAGGTAACCTGGGAAAACAGGAGACACCTTTTTATGTTTAATAGAAACCTGAAACTGAGAAAAAGTTTCAAAATAATAATATTTCAAAACAATAAATTGTTCTGTACAGATCCAGGGAAACGAAAGTACTTGGAAAAAACAAGCCCTTTAACTCTAGCAAGAGTTAAGCAGGAAACCAAAACCTGGTCCGTTTCCAGCCAGAAAAGAAGCTGCATTTCCCCCTCACTAGCTTATAAACAGCGCAAAGGACCGTATTCTGCGCGCATTGCGCCCTGCTCTCTGCTGACGCTACTCTGGCGCATCCAACTGTTTTCATATATTCCTCATAGTAATGTGTGGCATTAGTCAAATCAACTTTCTGTATAATGGGGGATGGTGTAAGAGAAGCTGTTAAATACTGCAAGAGAAACAAAGTCTTGCTTGCTTGCCTGACAGTCCTGCTGGAAGCAGTAGTCAATGCCGAAAGTTAAAAGTTCAGAGGGTAAAAACCCTCCAGGGGTTCTTATTCTCAGCAAACGTGGGAGACAGCACTAACAGAAGCTGATTTCCTTCATGCTTTTCTTTCCGTTTTCCTCCTGTGCGTCTCCCCGTCCCTGCCCTTTGCAGACAAAGATAGGAACAAGCCAACTCTGCAATGAGAGCCTATCGCAAGTCGCCACCACAGCAGTCTCCAGCTTGTGCTCTGGCAGTGCTAAAACTGCACTACTATTCAACCCCAAATACTTTCGGTTTTTTGTCTTTCTGTTACAGATCAGGCAGATCAGTAGAGCTAGGGTAGGTGGTAAAGCTGGTAGGACTTTAATGATATTTCTAACCACATTTGCACATGCACCGAAATTTCCCTAGTAACATGTTATTCTCTCTAGAAAAAATAAACCTTTAAGCTCCAGACAGGCTTAGCAGCATTATTGCAGTTAAATACAGACCTTGTTTTCCCAGGAATCTAGGTGAGATTTGGGCTGAAATTAGAGTTAATATGAACTGCAAAGGGCCATCATTTCACTTAGGTGGGCTCCAAAAATTTATGATAACAATCAGAGCCACAAAATTTTATTCTGCAATCTGGACTGACAAAATTGTCCTTTTAATATATTGTCACTTAAATCAGGGAAACTGCTGGAACAGAGGCACGGCATTCGCAGAGCGCCTCTGCAAAGCCGTTGGAGTCTTTCAACTAAAATTTTAGGTTCAGCTCTTAATTCAGAAATTAGTTTCAGACACACAGAATCAATATACACGTTTAAAAACAGGCGACTCTTCAGTCTACAGAGAAGTTTATAAAAGAGGAACTTCAAGACTTTTCATAATATGCAACAGTTAACTTGAAATCCCTTAATTATCTTCAGGCACTAACAGCATTAAAATAGTCCTTAATTAAACACTCAAGACAATAGCCATGCTAATCCTAGTGTTTCCTAATAGTTTGAGGAATGCAGGGAGTTTTTACAGGTTTAATTCCTTAATATGTTGTCAGGGCTAACACTTGTTTTGGAAATAAAATCCAAGAAAATAATTTAAATAAAACTGTTACAACAATTACGGTTCACTAAATCTGCTGCAAAATCTCTGTGCAAGACAAGTGAATAAATGATTTTAAAATTAAGCAGGAATATGCCCTGACAAGTCAGAGTAACACAAAAGTGTATTATGTTTAAAAGTCTTAACCATTTTAACCACCTATTCATAGCAACTCATTTCTAGCTACAGTTTCTGCGAAAGTTAAGATGTTGCTGACACGTAACATTACAGACGTAGATTTAAGCACACATAGGAACTTCAATTTCTCTACAGCCACGTCTCTGTTAAGTTTTTTATACTTACACTAGGGCCTGGATAATTGATAACTAATTCACAGATTAGTCTCTAAGAGGTAGATATAAATCTGCAAGACAGGGAACAGTAGGGAATTAAACCCCTCCAAAAACCACTGACAATCTTTCCTTCCCTCATTTGCTCAAGTGTATATTGAGACATAGATCATAACCCATTTCAAGTAAAGGAGGGTGCACCATGGACAAGGATCATTTGCAGCCTCTAACACTTCTCAGACATGATGTCTTGGCTCTTGCATTGCCACTTCCAAGAGCAATGGCATACAGCCATCCCAGCAATTCCCGCCTGACTCCTCTCCTAGCAAGTACTTCTGCACTGCGCATCTGGCACTGTCCTTTACTCTCCTGTCTGCTCCTCGCTTTTCAGCGAGCGGGCGTCTCTGAGGCTTCTCCAGCTCTTAATTCTCTGACCTAACCGAAGTTTGCTTTGATCCTTTCTGGTGCCAACATTGCTGCGTCAGGGAAACAAACCCTTTTACTGTTATTCAGCTTAGTTCACAGCCAGTGGAGACTTGTTTCCTGAGTCCTAGCTAGCTCTTCCCTTTGGCGGAGGGGGAAGGGTTAGCCAAAAGATATTTGAATACCTTTCCTATTTTCTTTGTCCCTTTATTAGCCTCAAACGCCCTTCTACCCTCTTAATCAGGTCCATCTATGCTCCTTGCTGCTTATCACAGCAGCACGCTGTTCTATTGTACTCCTTTGGTTGCCTCTCAGTATCACACACTTGCATTTAGCTATAGGAATGGGTCCAGTGCCATTTCCAGATCAACGGGTGTTTTCTTTGGCCATCATGACATTCTGGTTTGTCCTTTAGATTTTAGGAGCTTCAAGGCAAGACTGCTGTGGCAGTACAACAATACTTCCAGCCCATGGGAAGGGCTCCTGAGCTGGCCCTTTACCTGCAAATTCCTGCTAATCCTGCTGTTTCAGGTTCTGAAGAGACAGACAGCTGCCGGACAACCGGAGGCGTGGGGCGCTCTGTCCCTTACAGTGACCAACCTGGTGGGCTTACAGCACGCTTGCTCACAGAGCCAAAAGCTGCAATCCAGCCCCAGTGTGTGCTTCCTGCATACTCCAGTTTGCTCCCGATAACACACTTTGCTGCAATGGCATTGCAAGGCCATCTTGCGACAGTCTCCCAAGGGCCTATGCAGCTCTGGAACTTCACCTACGGAAGAGGGAACTTTTTAAGGCATGAAAGGTCTTGAGGACATTGGTCTACTCCGGGGTCACTAAGCATGGGGTAACAGGCCCAGCGGAGGCAGGCAGACAGAAATGAAGATAACGCCTACAGAGCAGTAACGAAACAAAGTTTGTTCTAACTTCCTGATCCTTTTCATACCACAGTGGTCGCACAAATTTAACGTACAGGTGATCCGAAACAATTTGCTTCATTTAGCATCTTTCATCCATAAAATATCAAATCTGCATACTCAAGACACTAAGTTTAGGTACCCAGTCCCCAACCAGAAAATGCAGGACTGACTTCAACCTCTTCTTGCCTCTGGGCTGATGGATGTTTTCTCCATCTCTCTTCTTCTATCTTGAAAGGTATGGAACGGCCCCACAAGTACATGAAATAGACTGATATCCCGGGGGCACCTTACATATAGGACAGATTAGACTTGTTAAATTTGCTTACCTTGTGATGCATCATTCTTTCTCCTGCTCTCAGCAGTTTACCAGAATTTTTAGGTGAGCTCCTGTAATGTCGCAAACTTGATTTTCTATATAAGGAGGTACAAGCATCAGATGAAACAAAGAAGAATCATGTAAAGAGGAGATGACCTGGACAAAGCAACCTGATATTAAACAGATTACACGCATCTCCCTTTCCTTTTCACGTGGTCTTCTAAAAGTATTCAAGTGACTCATTTCTGTTCAGACAAACGTCTGAGAGAAAATACAAACGACAGATGTTTGAAGACGGACAGCATCAACGCAGCTCATGCACCTGGTTAACAGTCCCACTGATTGTGTCCATGTCAGGCAGAGTACTCGCATGGAGACAGAACGAATCACTGATTGCTCAGCAATTGCAGCAAGGAGGAGATGAAAATAAAGGCACGTGGAGAAATACCGCATGTCTTTTAGGACCAGAGAGTAACATGGATTGTCTAGATCAGCACATCACTGAAGAAGTTCTATGGCTTGGTGCCCAAGGACCTGCAGCCATCATCCAACAGGGATTTTAATTTTACTGTTCATGCTATCACCACGTTGAAAGGGAGAACACACTTTATACTGCAGTGCCAGCGAGAGAGAGAAAGTAGAAAAGCAAGCTGCAACTGTTTTATCCATAGGCTAGAACACAGAGGGTGTAGAGCATGCCGATGCTGACTAGAGCAGCACACGCAGCGGCAGAGATGTGCCTGAGGGGGAGGTGGACAACAAAACAGAGACAAGTGCATTCAACTAACGAGCTGAGCAAGACTCAGACATGGAATATAGCTTAAGGACAGGACACAAGTGGTAAGTGTTACTGAGACTTTAAGATATAAGCCAGCAATTTCATAATACAGTCAGACACAACAAATAGTATTTACAAAAGCTACGGAGTACGCTCTGCAGTTCTGCATATGCTGATAAAGGAATGCATAAAATAAAATCATGACAAAAACAGAGATTTCATAAAGGATGGGTGAAAGTGCCCAAAAGATTTTCATAAACGCGTACAATCATCTTCAGGTGTCTAAAGCTTACAAATCAATACACAGCACTTATTTATAGCGTGCTAGGACTCCTTTTCTCCTCTATATTAACTATCTTTGAATAGAAACACAATATCCTCGTATGAGAAAAGCACTCACTGCAATTACAGATAGCCATAAATTCAAATGGATTAATAAAATGATTTAATAAGAAAAGAACATAGAACAGTGGAAATCATGGTGGATTTCCAAGACAAATCCGTATCACGAAAGGACTGAATCTGTCAATAACAGAACTATTCAACTATAATCACCCTTGATTACAAGAAAATTAAGAAAGGCTGAAATAAAGAAGCAGAATCTTTACTGCTTCATACAGGTAGCAAAAGCACTCTATTCTGAACTACCAAATACATAGCAAACCTATTACATAGACAGGGGAACATTTTCCTTTGCTTCCTCTCATATTTAATATCAGATTAGACAAGTAGCTGTACAGCTGTTTACCACTTCAGACTCAAAACCTGTATGACAGGACTTCCTACAACATTAACATTGCGCACACACTTAAAAGTGTTAAGCTTAGAAAAACAGAAAAAATACTAAATTCTTTTCTTCCCTCTCCTCTCCCCAAACATCAGAAGGCACTCTCAAGGCAAGCAGATCTACTAAGACCAAAAGATACTGCACTTCTTGCTGTGGTAAATTACAAAAGCCTGTCCTCACACTGGAAGTTATCAGGAGAAGGTTAAACATAGATTTTTAACTCAGAGGGAGAAAGATACCCAGGGATTTTCCCACAACAGTAGCTCAAGGAACATTCTTCCAAGACAGAAGCAAAGCCGAAGGAGCAGAGCAGCCCTGATTAGATCCTGAATGTCCACCTAATCCAAAGCAAGGATCATCTGATGTATAAACTTTATTAGGGAAAGAAAGTAATTCCCAAATTCTCCACTCAGTAGTTTAATTGAAAATATCAGAAACGACCCAACCAGAATCGAGGACAGTAAAATATAAGAGAAGAACATATCTCTCATCCCTACTTCCCATTTTCTTCCTCTTTTTCCCAGTGATGACAGGCTGGCAGATACAAAGGAAATA